AATCTGATGGATGTAGAAAGCTGAACAAGTTTCCCAGAAGGACACCAACTATTACATTAAAGAGAAATTCAAAGACACAATAAATGAGAAAAATCACAAAAATGATAAAATCTAAAGATTGAAAGTGTATGCTGTATCCCAAAAAGACTTCTCATGTAGATCGATGCCGAGACTGGGCAGGATGCCTTTCAAAGATCAAGAAAGAATCATGAAATTATCTAGAAAGAAAATACAAGTTAATGCTTAGAAGGAGAAGCATTTGGATTGGCTCAATCAATCAAAGACAGAATTCAGTGAAACAATGTCTACAAAAGTCTTTGGGGTCAAAAATGCAACTGCTAGGTTTTCTATCTCCTGCATGCGATCCTTTGAGTATCAGGACAACAGCATGTTCTCGACCATCAGATCGGAGAGAAACAGCGTGATTAGTGAGTATCTGGTAAGACACGCTCGACAATGAAATTGAACTAACTAGTGATGAGCAAAGGTACAGAAGTCAGGGATTCAGAAGCCCCAGAGAGGACTGTGGAGGGACTCAAACGAGATGTAGGCCTAACGCAGCACCAGTCATTTCAATATTACGAAACTTGCAATAAAAATAGGAAAATATCAAGAGGGAGAGAGGCACGGTGATGAAATGTGGGCGTGATGATTCTTTATCTTTAAGAGCAGGAAGATAAATAAGTGAAGTTAAAATGCCTTTGACTTTTTATAAGCTTTACCTTAAGTTCAATGTGAAGTCATTTAAATTTACTATATATTGTAAAAAAAATTTCAAGTTCAAAATTGTTTTCAACCCATTAAAATTCCTTTTTCTTCAATTAGTTCGATGGGATTAACCATAAACCTTTTTTGAAAAATGAAACAAAAATCCATATTTGATCTATGTTTTCAAATTTTTATGTTATCTTTATTATTCTACACTTTTTTTTCTGACCAAAAATTCTTACTAATTTAGGCTTTCCTCCTGCCCTTAGTCCATCCTTCCTTCTTTCCCAACTTCTATATGTATGGAGAAATGAAATAATATACACCAAAATGTAATGGTGTTTATATCTGAAAATATGTCTGGAAATTTTTTAAAAATTGTTTTTGACATAGGTGATAGAAGAGTCTAACCTTCAAACAATATGCTGAGGTGTCCAGGCTGACGCATGTCAGCAGCCCCTCCAGCCCCTGTGGGTACGTGTGTAGTATCCCGTCCAAGGGGACACCCTTAGTTTATTCATCCAGGTACCTGTAGGCAGACTTGGATTGTTTCCAATAATTTCCAGTTCCAAAGAAAGATGTAATCATTTGTACGTGAGGCATTTTGTAACCATAGAGAGATTTTGGGAAGGTAAATCACAAGATGTGGGGTTTCTAGGTAAAAGTGGAAATGCATCTGTAAGTTTGATGGCTTTGGCTGGCTCGTTGCCTGCGGCACATTTCTTTGTGCTGGTGACGTCACGAGAGCCCGTGTCCCCCCCCAGCCCTGGCAACAGGAGGCGTTCAAGCTTTTGTACATTCGCCGCTATGAACTGCTGTCTCAATGTTTTTTAATTTGCGTCCCTCTTACAGGAGAGGTTGAGAATCTCTTCATAGGTTTAGGGCCTTTCATAATTCTTGTTCTGTGAACTCTAGTCTCCTCTGACCAATTTTCAATAGGATTTCGGATGATTTTTACTCTATTGGTGCCTTTTTTGTATTGCTTGTTTTTAGATAAGAATGTATGAGTTTTACAAAACAATACTTATTCTAGAAAGTATAGATACCACCGAAGGAGAGTTAAATAGAATAAAGGGAACCTTCTCCTGAGGCAGGAGGGGACAGGGGAGCGTGGCAAGGTTGGGGACATATTTTTTAATGGATAGGAAGGAATTCAGGCAAGCAGCTGATTCTCCTGCTGCTTTTAGCGAAAGAGGCAGTGTGATCTGACCAAGGTAGTGGCCATGGCGACGGCTCAGATTTGGAAGATCCCCAGGGGGATCAGTTTGGAACGGAGATGATCCACTCACCACACTGTGGCCTTCAATCGGTTCTGGGATTATCTGTATCTAATGGTGACAGTAAGTAAATAAGTCATTAAAAACAGTAGTAGTTCTAAGCAGAGAAGCTGCAGGAGTGGAAGTGGGGATGGAGCCAGGAGAGATCTGACGGACGCGGGCCCCTCGCCAGTCAGCCAAGCGGGCATGCTGGTGGCCCAGGTGGTGGCAGGGACTGAAGATGCTTCCACACGAGCTCTTGAAGTCGGCATAGAAAAGAGAAGAATCAGGGCAGGATGGGGTACGAGGGTTCTCCACGACGCCACTAGACGTTCCAGACAGTTATTCCTTCTGTTTTGTTTTCTTTTGTGAAAATTAATTCTAAAACATGTCTTACACTTACAATAGGTTCCGCCGCTGCATAAAATCACAAAACACAAATCTCAGGTAATATCCCTAGAAAGATAACTATAAATCTCTATAGAATTATGTTAAATAATGAATAGCCTGCAAAGTATGTCATCTCATGATGCTAAATAAAATTAATCTCTTCTTTGGATACTGTATAAATATAGGTTTGGTTTTATTTCTGAAATTCATATGTTATTCAAATGACTACAGAACATTGAATTGAAATGTAAAAATCTGTAGAGAGAAACTTAGTGGGTTTTAGTAATTTAACTAAACTTGTTATTGGGTTGACTGATTTTGACCTTTTTCAACTTCCTGCATTTAAATTGTGAACAAATATTTTGCTGCCTCTTGAAAGAACAAATACAGTTTATTTCCCACTGACACTCATCAAAGAGACATTTGACTTGCATGACTTAATGCTACTTTAAACAAAAAGAAAACTACCAAAGTATGTTTTATTTTAAAAAAATAACGTGTTTCATTTAAAAAGTCATTTTATAAAACTAAAACTGACTGTGAGCCCAGGTCAGAAACATCAGACTATCTTCAGGGAAACACACACTCATGCACACACACAGAAACAGCCAGACTAAAATTTTCTGCACTTATATCACTCGTATATATTTTCTCACATAATTCACATGACTTACAGCTATTGTAAAAAAAGTGCTATTTGTATGCTGATCACACTAAGTGTGATTCTTTAGCGCTTTATTGTGTCCTTCAAGAGAAATGCAGAGTTTTTTTTAGGATTACTGGATATTCCACAATAGTGTGGGGCTCAAAGTCAGGATCAGCTTTTAGGACAAAGATCTGACGAGTCATTAAAGACCTGTCACTTAACCAGAGCACATCCCTGTGAGAAAAGAATAGTGCGCAGAGAAAAGTATGTTTTAAAAAGGTTATGTCAAAATAATCGTTGCTAATTACCTTAGTGTTACCTTAAATAGCCAACTGAGAAATGATGGGAGATTTACTGGCCAAGTCAATTCACAGTAACGCAAAGCAGATGCCAGGTGACCATTGAGTCAGTTTAGCTTTTTATTTCTGTAAACTTTGACAAAAAAATATCCAAACTTTTCATTTTAAATATTCTGAATATTCTTTATTCACCATCCTTGTCTTTAGGAACGCAATGAAAGCAAATAATTAAGTATAAGTGGAAACACGTTTATAAAGGGAAATCAGGAAAGCAGCGGTTTTTCTAGGGGAAGTGCAATGTTATTTTACGTGAAGAGTCCTTTTCCAGCCCCTGGCATTCCAAATTTGGGGACAGTTAGGTCAGAAAACCACACTCCCTGGCCTCACTCACCAGAGAGAGGGAGTCATGCTCTCCATGAATTGATTTCGTTGCGCGGTGCTGTTAGCTCGTTTCAGATTCTGATCCATGGGTCCTGTACTGAAATGTGACCCGAACAGTAGGAACTGGTTCTGATGGCCATCTGAGGGACAGTGGGACAATGGCATTCGCGCTCTATTGCTGGGCTTCATTTCCGGGCCCTCCCTGCGGCGGTGAGGCAGTCGCTGTTCATGTGCATCCTGAGAACATTCTTTCCCGCGCTCGTGTAAGTGCTTATTTTTGTAGAATAGCTTCAATGCTGTGCGTGTGTCACACACAGTTTTGTTTTTGTTTTTGTTTTAATCGTGGGATAAAGAAAAGACAATTAATTCAGGTTGTTTTCTCTACTGATTTTTCAAAACACAGGAGCAGGTTGATACTCAGGAAGGCAGGAGAGCAGGTTGTGAACGCAGCGACGGTGCCGACAAGAGCGGCTTCACATCCTGGCTCTGTCGCCCGCGGGGTGCGCTCCCACAGGCCAGGTGCTGGACTTCCAAGCCCCAGGTCCCCATCCGCACGCCGGGCATCTAAGGGCAGGTGCCGCGTGGAAGTTCTCTTGAGACACGGAGGCAGGTACAACAGTAAAATGCCAGGCATGTATTATGTCCAGTAAACATCAAGCTATTACACAAATTATTATTATTTTGATTTGTAAGTCATGACACAGGATGCGTAGCCTGTGATTTTGGTTACTATTGAACCAAAAATATGTAAAGAGAAGGGTGAAGAGGTTTACAAACAAATAATTATGGAAAATTGGACCCTCAGCAGAATAACTCTTATCGCCCGAAATAAGAAAAAAGCCCAAGATCTCTTTGAAGAAACTTCCAGTGGTTCCAGTTGTAGAATTTGTATGAGATTCAAAGCACAGCCTTTTCTGTTCATTTCAACACAAACTCTTTCCCTTTGAAGTTGTGCATTTGACGTTTTTTTTTTTATCAAGAAATGTGTTGCAATTAGCCGGGGCAATTACCACCCACTTATGTCGACTTAATACAGAACAATGAGAACACTTCATAACAAATCTCTGGTGTAAATTAAAAATTAAGATCAATTAGTTATGAGAAATAATAGACTTTATATTTGATGTTTTAGGGGGAAAGGAGCAAACTTAGATAGGGCAATGTCACTGTATATGTGTTCGAGTTCCGAGCAGAGGCTCACGCTTGCGGATTATCACCGAAAAGCCCTTCAGCTAATCACTGCAAGGAAATATTAAAACGTATATACCATTTGTGCAAATATTTGTCGCTGCAAAAAAAATTAATGGACTGGAAGCTAAATTTTAAGAATACTGAATGCATACTTTATTCCCAATGAATTCTGGAATTATTAGAAATGAACAAACATCAGAAGAAACATAACATAGTTTCTTTCTGTCCAATATATACACAATGGTACCCAGAGCCTTACCTCTAAAACTTAAAACTTTTTGCATAATTTTTCTGACTAGGTCTTAGAATTACTAATGACAGTGCCAAACTAGGAAATAAATGCCAGGCATCTCATGGCAGATTCCCTAGGCATGCAACACACAGTCACAGGCGTAGGTCTATAATTCCATATTATTTTCTTTTTTAACATAAGAGGTATAGACCTCTGATCCCCTGCGTTAGTGTGCAGGCCCCACCTTCTAGTCGATACGTATCCTCAGGAGCGATGGGCCTGCCGGCCCCACTGCCCTGTCTCTCCCTTTACTGTTCCTCATTTGCAGAAGGAAAAAACTGTTTCGGCTTGCTTCTTCAACTAATAGAAATTACCATAGTTTTATTTTCTAAGTATTTGTTTTGAGAGGATAGACTCTAGTACATAATACACATTTAAAACACACAACACCTACATTTGGAAATGTCACTCGCTGCTGGAACCTCTGAGAAAAAACACTTGACTTGTAGAATTTTTTAAACTTAGAATTTTAGTGCTTGTATTTTGAAGCAGCTCACAGATAAAATAGACACATAACCACACTAGTCTCCTGAACATGAGAACTGTAAATTTTAACAAGTGTCTAGTAAATGGTGACTGATCAGGTTCCAACTGGACAGACTCAGGCACTAAAACCTCAGGGACTAATGAGAAAAGGATACGCAAACTTTCCACTGCCCATAATTGATGATTCCCAATCCCCTTTGCTCATTAATAAGTACAGATATTAAGTAAACCTAATGTAAATTAGAAACTCTTGCTTCCTTCTAAAATCCACTCCTTTTCATACATTAATGACAAAATGCTACACAATAATCAAGAATTAATTATTAACTTCCTGTGTAAAATAAAAGAGGAGGATGAACGCAAGATAAATACGAGTTGAATAATGGAAAGCATTTGATGCTGTCTAGTTATTTAAGATCAGGAGAGCGAAGACAAAGAGAATGAAAAGGTAGTATGTAATGTTATTATATTTAATAAGCTAATGCAGAATTCACTGGAATGAGTTTGCTTAATACTTTTTGGAAAATAACCATTTTTCTTTTTTTGTATATTCTAAACAATTATTAAACTATAGATTTCTTTTTTTAAATTGAGACCTGTGAAATTTTCCTACAAATGTCAATTGCATTAAGCATTTATTTTAATTTGTGCTTACACAATTCATATACAAACATGTAACACATTTAATATATTATGTGTAAGAAAAGGTGATCAAATTTTATTATGATTATTGATATAATTCCTGGTAAAAGCAGTCTAAGTATTTGATAAATTCAAGGGTGAGCTTTGCCATGGAAAATACACATATGCGGTATTATTCTTTCCATATCAATGTTGTATTCCATAAAAATAGCACTGTTAGGTTCCATATGTAAATATTTAGCAGAAACACATTTGCATGACCCCATTTTTATCCTAAAGATAGTAATATATGTTGCATTTGTTTAAAGATGTTTATTTAAGTTCAACTATAACAAGTGTAAGTTTTGGTCAGAAGTATCAAGCAATGAATTTCACATATTATACAGAGAATGGTACATGCTGCAAAATTGTAAATACCATGTGACTGTAACAAGATAGGCTCACTCGAAAATTTTAAATTAGATTAAATAAGCTTGAAAAGATACTGGACTATATGCTAACATATGGAATATAAGGTTTCCAAATGCTAATTTAGCTAACTGTCTGGTCACCATACACACACATGCCACTACGTCTATTTGCAGAAGTCCTAAAAGCTACAGGATATTTATGAATAGAACACGGACGACACCTTGAGGTCATTCTAGGAAATGCACATGCTGTTCTTAGAGCCACACAGGACTTATGATTTAAAAAATAGAGCCTTTAAGCTAAGCTAATACTTCCACTATAAAATGTGTTTTTTCTTCAAAAAAATAAAAAGGCAAAGTTTTCAAGAGCATTTAGATTCACCTGAAAGCATCTTTTCTCTCTGTCTCTCTCTCTCTCTCTCTCACACACACACAACACACACACACACACACACATGCACAGACTACAAAGAAGTTACTCTACTGAACAGTAGATGAAATTTTAAAGTAAGCATAAGACTGTACAAAACATTTTCGCTTGACTGTCTTAAATATTTTTCTACAGTAGTTAACATAGAAGCTCCCACAAATATTGGTCCAGTGCGCTTCATTAATCCAGTTATCTATCCTGCTCTTAGAAAAATAGAAACAACAGCTAACGTGCGGTTTTGAGCTGTCCCGTCTGTGTCTCCTACGCGCTTTGAGTTGGAGCTGGGCTCGCTGGGCCATTGGCGGCGTGTTCTGGCCCCTCGTGGCCGCTCGTGGGTTTGGGCCCTTCGCCCTCTCCGCTGCCCCCGTCGGCCTGCTGGGCTCCGGGCGGACAGATGCAGTTAGCATCCTGTTTGGCTCTGTCCAATTCATGATCAAATTCAATCTTATCTTCTGAATTGTTTTTCTTCACTTGTCCATTCTGGGCTGGATAGGTGCTCACAATGATGTCATATAGGAACTGGTATTGCTCCTAGAAAAGGAGAGAAGCACAAAATTACATAAAGTTTTTATAACTATTTTTACATTAGATGAAAATCGGAAGAACTAATCATTTGCTTGTGGAAGTCCTGGCAAACAGAAAACTGCTCATATGTTTTCACAAAAAGAACCTTTTTACATGGCTTTGTCTCCCCACAGTTCCAGAGGACTGGTCGCAGGGGAGGCTGCAAAACTTACCTTCTCCCAGCACCAAACCATCCGCCCCCCAGGCCCTGGGGCGCCTCATTCCCGAGCCTCTGCCCCTTGACCCTTTATGGGCTTTTCCCCTTGGCTTAGGATCTGAGCGCGAGTCACCTGATCCCCAGAGGTTAAGGGAGGTGCCCTCCTTCGTGCTCTTCTTGTAATTCCTGTCATTTCCCTTAACATAGTGTTTCATGAATATCTGCCTTGCCCACACACAGTAAGTCTCTTAATGGCAAGAGCACACAGTGGGCACTTAGCAGTTTCAAAATCTACATATGCAAGTTCAGTGCCAGATACAGTTGAAAGCTGCATACTTAAGTGAGTAGTTAAGTTTACACTGTGACTAGTTACTAACTCCTGGGCTGTGGTTACTACCACTTCAGAGGATGCATGTTAGATTGATTACAAAGCTGCCATCCTTACTACCCCGTTTCCACACCTCTGCAACATGACATTGCCGGCGGTCTATTTCCCCACCCTTGCCTCTGAGCTGGCCTTGTGACTTGCTGGGAATAAAATGCAGAGGGAGACATGTTGTGCCAGTTCTTAGCCTGGGCTTCACGAGGCCTTGCTCTGCTGCCCTCACTCTCAGGATGCGGCTGCCTTTGTGTGCGTGTGCCTGGGCTAGCCTCCTGGATGAGCAGGCGTGTGATCCACTCACCCTGCTGCCGCAGCTAAATGCCAGCCAACCGCCTGCCTGCTGGCAGGTAAGGACCCTTTGGTCCGTCCAAACCACCAAAGGCGGAGCTCACCAGACGCAGCAGGCACGTGTGGGAGCCTGGTCCAGCCCGATGTGACCAGCAGAACTAGTCAGCTAATCAAACAGGTTACTTAATAATCCGTAATATTATATGCACATATTAATAGTCTATGAATTAATACATATAATAAGTGTTACTTTCTTCAGTCACTCATTTTTGTGGTTGTTTGTTACACAGAAACACAGATTGATACAAGATTAAAGGTGGGGAAATTTAGGGCGCTCGTGAATATTTAAAGGAATGTTCCTGATGAACCGCCCACCGAACTGCTGGCAAAGTCTGTTCAGGTCTCGTATTTGTATTGGTGATGATGCAATAGGAATTATCATGTCATAATGGTAGATAAGAAGGAATAGAAACGTGAATAGGACAGAAGGAAAAAGGAGAGAATCAAAGGAGAGAAGGAAAGGGAAGAAAAAATTGTTGAAGTAAAAATGCAAAACATATTAAAAGCAATAGTGAGATATACTTACAAATGTGGGAACCATCCCCGGCCTAGCTTTGCGTATAGATTTTACTACTTGGAAAACATCTATCACCTCTTCTGTTTCTGCACTTTCCAAGAGATTTAGCAAAGCACAGAACACTCCTGTTTGCTGAGACCCATCTCTGTAAATGAAAGAAAAGATAAAAAACCAAATTTACATTTTATGGAGAAAGTATTAGAATACAAATTGAAAGGCAGATACGGAATATAGTCTTCACTTCATGTTTATGTAATTATCTTATTCCCATCTTTTAAGAGAAAAACATTTCTGCTAAATGCATTTTTGGACTTTCAAACTTTAAATGTAAAGTTTGAATTTTAAACTTTTAAAATTTGGGACTATAATAATTGTCAAAGGAAATAATTGTTCAACAGTTTAAAAAGCATTTGTCTTAGGCTTTAAAAATATACTTTTCTCTGTTAGTTTACAGATTTCAGTGCATTTTTGTCTGTATCTGAAGTCGTTAAGACAAATATCAGGCCAACCTGATGGATGAGGGTGTGGAAATTTAGGGAAGATAAAGGTATGGCCAGAATACTGGACCTGATATTGGAAGTTACTAGACTACCTGCTTTTTCTTCTCTCTTCTGTGTTTCCAATGCTTTTTACAAATGTTTACACTGTGTGTAAATAGAAAAATGATGTCTAATGGAATTATTCACTAAAAAGAAGTCAAAAAAAAAGATTTGCCATACCATGTGTGGTATGTGGTATAATAACAATAACATTGTTATTATAAAGATTCAATCAAAGAATATGTTTTTAATAGGGATTATGTATTACATAATTAAGGAACACATAGTAGGTATTCAACAATATCTTAAGAGACACATACAGTTTTAGAGCCTGAATTTCCTTTCTCTAGCTTTTTTTTCCCACTTAGGTCTCACCTTTGAAAGCACAAATAAATACTAAAAAGTAGTATAGCTCTAAGGACTTGATTCTAGTATTTGCAGTTCCAATAACAATAATAAGGCTTTCCCAAAAATTCTAAAAGCATTTCACTAGATTTACATTTCTCATTTTACTTTGCTATTTATCATTATTTCACTTATTTTAATGTTTTTTTTACTTTGGTATAATTAATATACAATCACATGGGCAACATTGTGGTTACTAGATTCCCTCCATCATCAAGTCTCCCCCACACACCCCATCACAGTCACTGTCCATCAGCGTAGTAAGATGCTATAGAGTCGCTACTTGTCTTCTCTGTGCTATACTGCCTTCCCCGTGCCCCACCCCCCTACATTATGTCTGCTAATCGTAATGCCCCTTATTCCCCCTTATCCCTCCCTTCCCACCCACCCTTAACAGTCCCTTTCCCTTTGGTGACTGTTAGTCCATTCTTGGGTTCTGCGAGTCTGCTGCTGTTTTGTTCCTTCAGTTTTTGCTTTGTTCTTATGCTCCACATGTGAGTGAAATCATTTGGTACTTGTCTTTCTCCACCTGGCTTATTTCACTGAGCATAACACCCTCTAGCTCCATCCATGCTGTTGCAAATGGTAGGATTTGTTTTCTTCTTATGGCTGAATAATATTCCACTGTGTATATGTATACTTTAATGTTTTTATGTGAATATTTTATGTTATGCATCCTTATTTCAATATCTTTTATTTATATTAGATATGCAGTCATCTCATCACAGATGAAAGTTAAGGGTCTGCATAACAGAAATTAATAAAATCAAGTATTATTATATACATTAATAAAATCTGCCTCGAGTCAGTTTAGAAAGTCAAATGATGGATTTCAAATCCAAGTTGCTAAGCATTGAGGTTTCAGTTAATATATAACTCAAGAGAGATATGGAAGGCAATATGCTTATTGTTCAATCCATTAGATTCTTTTAATACCTAATAGGGTGGATCAATGCATATAAGCATAAATAAAATGTAATATTCATTCATCTGCTCATGCACCCTTCTACTCATTCATTAGTTCATTTAGGATATGTGACTTTCCAGGTTCAATGTCAGGGGTCAGGGAATCAAAGATGACCTAACACTGGTATTAAGGGTATAATATAATCCTTTCCATTAATTTCATAGTCATCAGGCTGTCAGAACATAACAGAGAGAATGACTGATCATCTCAGAGGCTCTCACAGTGGTCATGCATTTTATGCATCAGGATAGATAGAATTTCACAGGAAATGTGAACCAAGAAGCCAGGCATGATGATGACGTTCAGAGCAGATCTGATCAAACCCCACCCACCTGCAGTGGATGAGGAGAGACGCACTCTTGTGATGCTTATTCCTTTCGGTGGGGTTCTTCTTGGGAAGCTTTTGCTTGAGCGTCTGAATCATGGAGATTAATTCTTTGGGTTCTGCAGGAAGCTCTTCCCCACTCCAGTTATGATATTGGTACTGGTGCACAGTTCGAAGATCTTTCCTCTGAAACAGAAGTGAAGGGACCATCAATTCAACTGCAGTTCTGTCCCTTTAATGATTGGACAGTCATGTTTTCTTCACTGTTATTTTCATATATAAATCATTTAAAATTTTTATTCTGAAAACATTATATAGATTTAGTTGCTTGGATTTCACATCTATGACATCAAAGATACCTACTCCTGAAATTGTTTCTATACCTTGGAATGTCTCAGTTCAAATACCCGGAGGGTGTAGGCTGAAGATTTCCTGGCGTCCGTCATGTCCACCTCTATGTCTCCGAACGTCTGTTTCTCTTCTCCCCAGTACTGGGCACAAGCTTCCTGGATAAAAAAGAGCACAATTCAGTGACTTGTCCATCAGGATTCCCTTTGCTCTTCAAAGTATGAGAGCACTTCTCTGTCTCTGTCTCTCTGTCTCTCTCCTCTTTCCCTTTGTTTTACTAAATTGAAATTATTCATTGTGCCCTAAAATTGAAACCTGCCCATAAAAATCTAAAGTCTATTTTAAGTATGTTGGGCATTCATTCAACAAATACATGGCATTTCCTGGTGCAAATCAAGAGAACCTAGGAATAGCCATGGCCATGGCGGGACAGCCCTGTCACCCCTGCTGGAGGTCATTGGGACGCGTTCCTCCCTCTGTATTCATATCACCACCTTTTTGGAACATATGGATTGTGCTGAGGTCAGTGGTCACCCTGAAGTAACGTGGGTCTCACTGTTCCTTTCCTGTCCTTGAAGGAGGTGTCATCTTGTAGAACTTTGTATCTTGGTGACGTAACACCATGAGCAGCTCTATGTAAGGTGACTGAATATCCGAGTAAAGGGTCAGACTGAAGAGCCGTGAGTCACAGAGCCGTGTCCTCTCCCTGCGGATGGCTCTCCGCCGCCCACAGTCCCACAGTTGCTGGCGACACTGGGCACTGCTGCCTGAGTGCCCCTCCCCATTCCTAGCTTTCACAGCCTAGATGAGGGAAAAGAGAGCTAGCATTCCATGCTAGAAATATGAACAGATATTTATTTCTTAAAAAAGAAAACAAGAAAAAGTTTTTCATGTCCATGGGCAGGGGACCACAGAAAAGGAGAAAGAGAAGACATGTAATTGCATGCCTCTGAGGGTATTCATTAGATAAGCTTTAACATATGTCAGATAATGCATTAATGCATTAGGTGCTAAAACTAAGAAAGACCTATTGCCAGGCACATTTTGATAAGTTAAGGTATTAAGGAAAGAATCAAATCTATGTCACAGGCCTTAAACAGAGGATCATATTAGATCTTAGGCTCATCTCCACCTATAGAATTTTATAATAAATATTACATGGACATAAAGAAGGCAGGATTTAGATGAACCTCGCATGAGGAGTTTTGTCTTGCTAGACAAGTAGGTTCAGAATGTGAGAGAGCTCAGTCAGACACGTGGAATGTCAGCGAATCAAGACTCAGTGATGGAAATGCAAACGGCATGTTAGGATTCAGTCAGAAAAGTTATGTGTACGGCAATGAAAGTATGAAAAACATAAAAATGTACAGAAAATGGAAAGATACGCAAGGGCCCGTTTTTGAGTGTCTCGAGTATCAGCCTGAGGAGTTGGGATTTTATCTTGAAGAAAATAGGAACATGTGGCTGTCTGTTGTTTTTAGCGAAGGGTGTCACCAGGATCGCTGTGCCTGAGGTGCTCTGTGAGCGGTGGGTGGGGCTGGGGAGGGGCAGACACGGAGGCTGTCGGAACCCAGACACCAGGTGTGGGGGGCCAACACGTGGAAGGAAGATGTAAGAACGCATGTGACGGGGGACCAGAAAGACTTGGGTATAGGATCAAGTCAGTAATCCAAGAATGCAGAACAGTATTTTATGACAGAAAGACTTTTTTTAAAAAGAGTCTTGCAAATGCAAACCTGGTCTCCATTCTGTAGCTCTGTCAGCATGACAATGACTTCGACTTTCCTTTGGAATACCAACTGCCAGAAGTCACCGATGGTCCCCTTCAGTGGCCCCTGAGCAGCAATCATCAATTGGGGTTTCCAGTAACTCTTGAAAGAAAAAAATAGGTGGGATTCTGTTACTCCTGTAACTTCCTTTGGAAATTCAGTCACTTAATTTGCTATCAATGCTGTTACATAAAAACATGAAGATTCTTAGGTCCAAGAAACAATGTGATCTCTATGTACTTATTTACTTAATGATAATACTTAGCTACTCATGTGAAGTCTACTTTAGAACATACTATCTTACAATGCCAACAATTTTCCCTTCCAAAATTATTTTCTTTCCCTCCAGAAAGGTTAATGTGATTGTAAAAAGAAATTTCATAAGCATTTCTAATTTTGTTTATCACATCTCTACTTGATATCTATAAAGTCTTACAATAGCTCATAATTAAACTAATATTCTATGCATAAGTGCCTTGGGAGAATTTGGAAAAGAAGTACATCCAATAGTGTATTTGTAAAATGTGTTTACAAATACTTGTATTTCTCAAATGTTATTTTTCATTTTGAACAATTATATTGAAGATTGACACTTTCATGGCATCCATGTAGAGTTATCATCAAGCTCATTCTTTTATAAAATCGCATAATGAATGACAATAATGGAGCTACGTTTTCAAAAGGTTAGGTCCTGGGCTTGGAAACTCGAGTACCTACCATTATGAAAGACGCGTTGATGTATCTGCTTGTCTCCTCGGAGTCACTGTCTTCGTCGGAAGATTCGTCGGAAGCCTGCTCACTCTCTTTGCTCACTTCCAGCTCGTGTTTGAGCGGCACTCTGTTAAAGTCATCTGTGCAAAACAAAGGAGCAGTAAGTCTTTCCTTAAAAAAGTCAAATCTGCTTTGATTGTCATGTGGAAATTAGAAAGTAATTTAGAAGTGACAGCGTTATGTAAACGTATTGATCGACATGACATGAAACTCAGTTTTTATTGATGAACAAATTATAAAAAACAAGTACAAGAATAAGAACTTCTCAAAAGGATTTCAGGAAAAAAATGAGACTTAACTCTATGTTAAACAACAAATAGTATCATAACATTCCGTATGATTATTCAGTCTTTGACACACGGTGGATCATCATTCTGCTTTATAGAAATTAAAAGAAATATTTATGTAAGTCAAAAAAAACAAACTTTGGTAAAAACCTCTTTTCTCAATTATATCCATTAATATGAAATTAGCCATCTTAATTAAATTGGTATCATAGATGACATTTAATCAAGAAAATTAATCTCTAATTTCTCACTGTTCCTCAATTTCTTTAACTTATCATATCCTGATAAAATGGTCTCACTAGCTACCTCACCATCAATTCCATGTTTTAAACTATGTCCGTAAGGGCTTCCTCAGCAATTTCCTGGGCACTGATCCGATTTATCTGGTTATCTAATTTGTTCGCTTGGCTCATACTTTCTCCGTGCTACTTTTAGTATAAAACTGAATCAAATACATTTGGACCAGATGTGGCCCTATCGATATTCTTCAGTAGCAGAATTCACGTATGGAAAACTGCGTATTCTGGTCTATTAAGTTTGATGATTCAGAGTATGGAGTACTGTTCCCCTACTTTCTGTCCCCCACATATAGGGAACAGATGAAGAGAAAACAAGTAGGTGACAGAAGGCAGTAATTGCTGCCACTTGGTAGCTGCCCTGGAGTAAACAACTGGAATAAACTAAAGATGAGAAAGAACTGGAGATGAGGACTTGACCTTTTTCCCCCAGCTTCAGAGGTTACGTCTTTGTGACACCCATTTCTGAAATAACTGGTAGAAAGAAAACACTAAATACGGTCTGTCCTCCGAAGTCCATTATGAATGATTGGGATCCAAAGTATTACTTGCTGTATCTAAAATTTAAATAGCCTACTAAGCATTCTCTGCTGTAGTCAGCCCAGTGTTGGCTGAAAACGTGCTTCAAGATCATTTGTGTGTATATGTCTTACATTTAAAACACTCTAACAGAGATCTTAACTTTGATATGAAAACTAAGCTACATACATGGAATGATGTGAGAATTCCTGTTTTTCCTTCTATTTTCCTCTTGATTCCCAATGTGCTGTGTCCTCCAGCTCCTATAGGAGGGAAGTCTCTGAGGGGGAAACAGAAAACAGAAAACTCCTTTAAAAGTGGAAGCAGTGCTGACTTTATTTTTGTGGCAGAAGTTGCTCCCTGAAGAAAGGCATTTCATCAAATGTGAAATTTGCATACATTCCTTAAAGGTCGCGGTTTTTAAGTTTGCCTCTGAATGTTTCCTTTAATTGCTCTGGTCTTTAAACACACGGTGAGTGTGAACTAGATGCACCCAAGTGTGTAACAGCACGCGGTTTGCTCTTGTGGAAGGTGAAAGCACCACACAGATGCTGACCCTCGTCCATATTGGATAATATGGTGAATTATTTCGAAAGATCGGAAATACACTCTCCAGGCACAGCCCGCACAGAGCACGCGGCTCAGGCCCCAAGAGAGGCTCCGTCCCTTGTAATGCCGCCCAGGCTGCCCCCCTGCCCCCCGCAGCCCACCACCAGCAGGGCCGGCTGGTCCTCCCGGGGAAGCTGCCGAATCCTGTGACTTTCACTCATTCTGTGGAGTCCAGTCCACTTTCATTTCTCCCTTGAAAACAGCCACCGTTCCTTAACTGGCGTCGTCCTCTTCCTTCTCACCTGCTCTGATCCTCCCGGAACAGACCAGAGCCCGCCCCCCCCGGACTCCTGAGCGGCTTCTCATCATCCTCAGGACACATCCGAGTCCCTCACAAGATCCCCGGGGTCGCCCGCACTGTCTGCCCAGCCTCAGGTCCTGCTGGGCCGCCGGTGCCCGGCCAACCCACTCCCCCCGCCCTGGAGGGGGCTGAGCCCCTCGCGCTTGGCGCGCGCCCGCCCGTCTTCTCTGCCAGGGCCCCTCTTCTCCCCTTCCCGTCACTCCACTGACCTCCTCATGCCCTTCGGGGGTCAGTTTGAGCAGCAGCTTCTCCTGGGAGGTCTCCCTGCCTGCAGGCCTCTCCTCCCAGGGGTCCTTAAAGAAATATTTGTCCCGTGGGTGAATATTCCAAACTGACAGAGCTCATCACGCACGACCCAGGATGTTACACGGGTGTGTGTGTGTGTGTGTGTGTGTGTGTGTGTGTGTGTGTGGACACAGTGCCCTCTTTCAAACCCCGTTTATTACTGTGTAACTGAATGAACACAGCCCTCACCCCCTGCCAGGCCACGGGCACCCCCGGTGAGCTGCCTGGAGGCAGGCGCCTTGGGACCTTCTGCCCTTGTCAGGAGGGTCACCAGCAGGCCCTGCCCAGGCCTGTGGGTGGAACTAACGGCTCACTTCCCTCTAGGACGCAGAGGGGTGTCCACACCGCCATCCCTGCCTGTTTGAGCAGTCGCTCCGCGTCCGGGCCTCCCAGGGCGCCATGTCCTGAGTCTCACACCCCAAGCACAGCCCGTCCCACCCATCTCACCCATCAGCACCTCCCTCCCTGCCCCGGCCTGTCACCAGGAAATCTCATCCACCTTAATCCTCTGCTCCTTTTATATTTGGAGGTGGGAGGGGGACACCAAGGGAAGCCTGGGGGTCCCTTGGCACCACCAAGAACGTAATGACTCCGTCAGAGGCCGATCTCCCTCCTCGCTCCCTGTTCACCTCACAGCCTGAAGAAAAGACGTGCATTCTCTTTGCCCCCAAACCATTTCTACTCATTTCTTCGTTACAAAACCGAACTCCTCTGATTTCCCTGCTTCCCCTCTGACCTTCAGGTAGAGGCGCCCAGTGCTGATTTCTGACTGCTCCCCGCATTCAGGTGTGTTCCCCTCCAGGCCCTTCGGCATCTCTGCTTATCCAGCAGCGACCAGACGACTGCAGCACGGCAGCCCTCGGGTACTCCTTCCTGCGACCTTTCTCCCCCTCCCTAGCCACCTGCCTCTGCCCCTTTGTAGGTTTATGGCAAACATTGTGTCACTTTAAGAATTGTGAATGCAACCATCCCTGTTATTGAAAATCACCTTTATTCCTCCTGGCCATTCACTCTTGTATCTTCAATCTACAACCTAAAATCCTATCAAAACTATCATCAAACTGTCCTTATCAAGTTCTCTGTGTGCCTCCTGTCCTCTGACTGGTCTGCTCTCTAGGGCCCACCATTCTTTCACTCGTTTGCAAACACCCTCAACTCAACTCATTTACCTCTTGACTTTCAGATAGTCATTTTTTTAAAATTTGGGTGGGTTTAACCCAACCATCTGCTTATTCAGCCCCTTCCAGTGTTGGTGCAGAAGGCAAAAAAACAAACAAACAAGTGACTGACTCTCTGTAACTTCATGTCCATACATTCCAAACGGTCCAGCACTAATGCCTGGGGATCCCACGTCCTCTGTGCAGGGAGCCCGCTCTCCTACTTTGACGTGACGATTTCATGCTTTTTCTCCTGGAAGCATAAGCTCATCTTTGCTCTCCTCACTCCTGTCCCCCTAAACTCCCAACAATGATCTTATTTCATGTTTTCCCGAGAAAGACAAGAAATGCTTCACTTTCCATCCCCAAATTTATCAGCCAATGTCTACTCTCACCTTCTGTCTATCTCAGTGCTTCAGCGGAAAACCTCTAGTGTTTCTATCAATATTACGGTCACTATCTGTGCTCTGGATGACATTTTATCCCCCTGTCTTCTTGCAAATCACTTTGACTTTTGAGCCTAGAATTGTACTCAGGACAAAGACTCAATCATATTTGTTCAGTAAAGAATTCACTTTCTTTTAGGGACTTTACATATCAATGTTTAAATCCAATGTGTTCCCACACAGCATGTGTGTATATACAGTTTAGCTGGCCGAGCACATTGAACGTGGTTGATTTATCAGCTAAAAGAGCAATAAACACCCCTTATCAAGCCCGCATGGATGGCCTACTCTTTCTGGAGTCCAGACCTTCCGAAAGATTGTGTTACCTGGTGATTATTTCCTGCCCACTCCCACCTCCACCCCACTTTGATTCAAAACAAATGGTTCTGCATCTGATTAAAAGCACATTTCTGGTTTTCTTGTGAAACTATCTGAATTGACCACTTCAGTAGTTTATGAAAGTTTCAGTAAACTGGAAATCACAGGTGAAAGAGAAAACTTATAAAACATGTTTTAGACATTTGGGCAATGTGGAGATGGCTATGCCAATTCTCTGAAATCGCAGGGAATGGCATCCTAAGATAGCATCAGGGCAGTTGCCTAATAAGTCGGTGGGGGCACATGCATGTATCCTTTTGTTCCTGTCCACCAGCTCCCACCGGTTCAGCTTCCGAAGCAGCCATAAACTCCTCTAATTATTTCCCTTACAAACCAAAAGCAGATGTAGTTTTTAAAGGTGAAATGTGGCTTGGCATTTGGCGGACCAATTTTGTGGCTATATACTATTCTTTGACACTTTATTTTATACCAGCTTAATGAGTGACTGGGAGGAGTGCCAGCTGTAGCATTAAATCGCCAGGTTTAAACAAGTCTCCCACATGATGGTTGTGCACTTGCAGGCATTTCCCAAGAATGTCCGTGCCCGCCCTGGCTTCTTCCGCTGTGCCTGCCTGGCCACCAGGTCGAGTCTGCAGCACAGCCCTGGGAAAGAGCAGCTCTCAACCAAAGCTACCTGTGATTATGATTGATTACCTGGAATTCAGCCTCTAGTGGAGACGGCTCACTGGGTGGATCTCTTTTCTTTATGTTATGTAGATATGGATGTAATTCAGACAAGTTCACTTCTGTTTCCCCAAACTGGTTGTATTCCACCAAGGCCTGATGAATCAGGATGTACTGTGCCTACAGGTCCAAAGAGAAATATGGATAATTAACTGAAAACTTACAGTCCCATAAATCGCATGTAAAGGAATCACGTATTCCCATGATTTTGCTCATATTGGAACAATGAATGGAAAAGAAAACTTTAATATTCTGGAAGCTGGCTGTCACAGTTCTTTGGAATATGAACCAATTCCATCTCAGATTGTTTTTTCAGAAAAAAATAGCTTGCTAAATACATTAGGCATCTATTATGTAGTGCATAGTTTTTATTTTATTCCTAAAATTAAAAAAAAAATTTGTTACTTTAGTGACTTAATCAGTTGAATCAGTTGTCAAATTACTAATCTATAAAATCATAATAAATTCCTCACTATGTCTGATAGGAAATAAAGCAAGTTGATATTCCATAGAATACATTCTTTAAAAGAGTTTTCTAGAACTTTTCAAAATGAGAAAGTTATTTTTAAAAAGCTCAATATGCCAAATTGAGATTTAACAACTAACCTTTATCATATTTGAATCAACTTTTTTTTAATGATGGATTTCTGACAGAGTTCAAGCCTCTTTCACCACTACCTCTATCCCCTGAGTTATTTTTTCACAGGAAATAACCTTTTATTTTTTCACAGGAAATAACTTTTTATTTTCTGGTTGACATTCTGTTTTTATACTTCTGCACTATGTATCTATAAACATTGTACATTTTGGTGTGCTTTCTTAAAAACTACGTAAATTGTGGCCTGTGTGTTCCATTGGGTGGCTTTACTCACTCGCGGTTTTCTCCGAACATCTAACCACAGAGGCAGGTTTAGACCCCGCGCGTTCCTGCAGCTGCAGCGGAGCGTGTGCCCTACAGAGTTCCCATGCCCGCATTTGGTCTTCCCATTCTCCTATTGCTATCTTAAACACGTAATATATTAAACATATAACTGGGTGTTTCCATTTTTTTTGCTGTTCTAACGCTGCTGAATGCAGTGAACATTCTTGCACGTTTCTGGTTGTGCCCATTTGCAAGGGCTTCTCTTGAGGATATACATATGCGGGGAGTCGTTAAGTCAGGTGAACTGACTACACACGTGTGCCGGAGACTTATCTAGAGGCTTTACTTGGACTAAATCCTTTCTGCCATAACTCTGTGGGGTGAATAAACCACCCCTCCCCCGGGAAAGGGCTGCATGACAAAGCAGAAGTGAGAAGCGGCTGGAGATGAGGACGCACCTCCACCTGAACCATCAGGCATCTTTGTCTCCGGAGCTTGACCACGTAGCCGTAGACGTCCACTTTGTTCTCCGCCTCCAGGCCTTCGAGCATGGCGTCGATCCCAATGTAGGTGCCTGTGCGTCCGACACCAGCACTACAAACAGAGTGGAGGCAGGTCATGGGAGGCAGATGAGCGCAAAGGCCAACAGAGGCGAGGCAGAGGAAGGCCTCTGAGTGCCTCCCCGCAGGCCGTTAGCCGCAGTAGCAATTGCCGAAGGGGAGGCTGCCGCTCCGAGCCCGCGCTGGGGGGGCCCGGGTACCTGCAGTGCACCACGACGGGGCCGCTGAAGAAGTTGCTGAAAGCGTTCACTCGCCTCCGCAGCTTGAGGAGCAGGTGCGGGTCCTCGGGCACCCCGTGGTCCGGCCAGCTGGTGAACTGGACGTGAGTCACCTCCCTTCCCGTGGCCTTTTCTCTTTTCTAGTTAAGAGAGCATATTTTCACGGAGGTCATTTCTTTTCTCGCACTGACGCCCCTCGCTGGGAGGAGGACAGGCACAAGCCCTCCCCGCGAGGACGTCTTCCTTTCTGGCGGATGACCAGTCACTGGGACGTCGTGCGGGGCTGCAAGCTGGCCAGGAGGCCATGGCTGGCCAGGAGGTGAGTGAGGTATGCAGCGGCGGGCCACTGCAGGAAGGCCCATGCCACCAGGACAAGAACAAACGAAGCCAAACCAAACACACACACAGAAATGCGAGGCGGTGGGTGGGGGTGACAAGACGTGAGGGCCATTCTCACAGCTGCTGGAAATACTTCTGCGTGGCAGGCCTGCACACAGGACTATTTGTCTTGTGAAGAAAGTCTGATTTGTTATGTGGTTGACGCTGTATTTGTTACACCCTCTCATGTGAGAAATGTCAGCTCAGACTGGAGACAGAGAGCTAAGAAAGGTCGGCGCTGGACTACAGCGCACATCTGTCCCAGTTTCAAGGCAAGTACGACAAGATGCGAATTCACAATTATCGGACCAAGTGCGAAGAATGATCATCTGCATTTAGATAACAGAGGAAACCACATGACGTTTGGTCGTGGTTTTCTGATGGAATATAACTGAATTCATCAAGCAGAATAATGGGAGGCTGATCAACATAACCAGACGGGCACTGACATCTGCGTTTCCCCCATTCCTACGGGCTGGGGGGCTTTGTGTCTTTGTCCGTCACGTTAGCCATGACCCTTGTTGGGACCCTTCTGCAGCCCTCCATGAGCACACAGTTAATGTGTTGTGGGAGTCTTAGAAAGCCTTGGGAGAAATACACAGTGTTTCTTCCCTACATTTTTGTATTAAGGTATATTTCACATGCCATAAAATTCATTCATTTAAAGTATAAATTTTTATTATATTCACAGACTTGTTAAATAGTCACCACTCTCGAATTATAGGACATTGTCATTACCTGGAAAAGAAAGCCCCACTGATAAGCAGTCATCCCCAACCCTGTCCCACCCCCCTCAGTCCCAAGCAATCAATATTTGATCTTCTGTCTTTATACATTTACCTATTCTGGACTTTTCCTATGAATGGAATCCTGTTACATGTGTGAAGACCTCCATTTCAGCTATTACTTAAGGCCACACTGATAGTTTCCTTTCCTGAATTAAATTTATTTTATTTCTACTACATTATTAGGACTTTGTACTTCTCATTGCAGTCTCTAGCTGTGCCATTGGTATAAATATTATTTCCATAATGGCAATAAACCCATTGAAAATACAGACCATTGTATCACTCATTTAATAATTTAATCATTTATTCAATACAGTTAATAGGCTTTTTATACTTCAAGGGTCACAGCATGATAAATACTTTTGGTGTGATGTGGACAAATACTATTTTCACCATTGACTTAACTTGACTCTGTTGGCTGGGTTATTATTCTAACCCACCTGTTCCTCCTGTTATCATTTAAAAAATTCTTCCCAGTTGTATTTTCTCACATTTAAAATTCCATAATTGTATTTTTAGAGCAAAAGTATGAAAATAAAAATTGTGTAATAAAACAAACTCACGTTTGTGATGTTCAGCTTCTGAATGATATAATCTGGACATCTTTTGTACTCAGTGACCTTCACAATAATGTCTCCAAAAGCCCGGGTGCCCTGCTCCACTGATGGCCAGTACTCCGCACACTTGTTCTGTATTTTAAAAAACCATTAAAGGTTCCATTTTTCATTTAAATAAACGTGTTTATTACACATTCTCTTAAAAAAATGAAAAGTTATTCATCTGAAATCCTCAAAACATTTGTGTATTCTCCTTTACACACATATACACCTTAAGTTGTGATATTTGAAATATATTCTATTTCCCACTGTGTCCAGAAGAATTCCCTTCATACTGCCTAGCAGATTGTCCCCAGCTTAGCTGCATTGTCAAAAGAGGATATGCTTCAGGGTGAGCAGAAATCGTGTGGTTGCACGTGGTTAATTTCAGGCTCGAGGATGGGGAGGATTTCACACTTCCTTAAGTCACATTACATGAATTACCATCTATCTGCCCAATGTCAGTTTTGCTTCAATTATTCACAAGTGCTTGTGAAATCCGAACATATGAATGTTCTGAAATTGTAACAATATTGCAAAGATATAGGAATCAAATACAAGTCCAGCAATTAAGTAGAAACAATTACATTTTATTCATATATACATATATCAATATATGTACAAATTTTATTTTTCTATGTGTATGAAAAAAATTTAAATCAAACGTTACTGAACAACTGTCTTTTTTTGTCATCAAGCACATGTGTGGCTTTTCAAAGTGCAACTCAGCACTCTCTTTTCTTAACCGCAAGCTCTACCCTATGAATCCCTGACCTTCACCCTGTAAATCTTTGGGTCCTTACCCTGTTTCCTTCTTCACATCGAGTGACCATGACAATAACTGTGGCTTTCTGTTCCCAGATCATCCTCCAAAAATCATCAACAGTTTCGTCCCTGGGACCTAGGCAGTAAATAAACACAAACTGGTAAGAAACATCTTCTTAAAAGTGCTATGAAACAATGTTTCAAAAAGAATATTGGACTATCACATAAATTACCTTGTGCAGCAATGTATTTCCTGGGTTCTTTGAAACCCTGTTCAAAACACACACAAAGGCATGTCATTCACAGAACACTCGACTGGTTTACACACAAAATTGTGAGCTAGAGGAAGTTGCTTTAGATCCACCATTTCTTGGTTGCAGATGTCCTTGGTTATTTTCAAGTTACAAGGGGATTTTATTCACTCTTTCTTAATCAGGCATTTAACTGTGAGAACCATGTTAGCTACCGTTTACAAACAATATTCAGGACTTCCATTGTCTTTGCTGTGTATCCAAAACGATTTGAAAAACTGGACTTCATTTTCACCTGGGATGGTGCAGCAATTTACAAGAGTAAGCCAGGCATTCCTATATTTTAAATCCTGTCAACCCTTACAGCACCAAATGCCACAATTTAAAGTCCTTATCAGCTATAGAGCTCCTTTCTGGATTTTCACGCAATGTCTTTGGGTGAATCCTCCGAAGATTACCCCCCACACTTTATCTTTTAACTAGTGTTGGATAAACCACTGATTCCCTAGACAACTTCCCTGCCATTCTAGATAAGAGAAACAACTCATTTCATGACCTATGAAATGTCTGTTAACCCCACTCCTGTTACCAAGGTAAATGGGGCAGAGGCAGATAAGATATTATGCTAATTTCTCCAAATTATCTCATATTCCTTAAATTCACCTCAGCATTCAGAGAAGCCTTTCAGAGAGAGAACCTTTGCCATTAGCTGAAATTCAGTTCCTTGTGCTACAAGAATTCATGATAAATTCCAGTAACTTCTTAAAACTTTTATTTCATTACTAGTACTATTCATGCATTCATTTATTCAACAAGTATCTATCAAGTAGCTTCAGTATGTCAAGTATATACCTAAAAGCTGAGACACAGCTTCCTAGGAGCTTCCAGCCTTGCTGGAGAAACGTGTAACTCCATACCATGATCACCGTGTATACTTGGACAAAAAATGTGAGTTACATTCTTCCCCAGAGGTTACCTAAAAACCTTAAAAATATGTTCTCAAATACTTCACTTTGAAGAACAAATTATTATTTGAAAAAAACACTATATACTTAAAGTTGATCAGTGCTAATTGAGAGGATCTACAGAATCAGTTAAAATAGAGAATTATGACAAAGTATTACTAATTTTTTTGGACAATGACTATGCTCTCACATTTGTAAGTACTGCCTGTCATGGTTAACAAGGCTTTTGAGGATCACAGGAAATAAAGAACAGAATAAGAAATTGAATTGTGAGTGTCACAAACACACATTAGGAGAAGACATATTTGCTGCTAGTAAAAATAATTTTTCATTTCTTTCTTATAGATAAGAAGACACAAACTGTGTGTAGTGCATTGAGTAGTGTTCCCCCAGAACTCACGTCCACTCGGAATCTCAGAATGACCTTATTTGGAAAAGGGGTCTTTGTGGAAGATGAGGCCACACTGGAGAGGTACAGGTCCTAAATCCAGTGATTGGTGACCTTATAAGAGGAAGGAGACAGTGACGTAGAGATTGAGAGGGAGGTCCTGCAATGACAGGGGCACAGACAAGAACCATCCAGCTATAAGCCAGGAAAAGCCAGGGGCCGCCAGGAGCCGCCAGGGACTAGGAAGAGGCGAGGGGGGTACCCCTGACCCTCCAGGGGGAGCCTGGCTACGCCGACATCTTGATCTCACCCTTCTGGCCTCGAGAACTGTGAGAGAACGAATTTCTATTCTTTCACATCATTCAGTTTGTGGTGCTTAGATATGTCATCCCTAGGAAATTATTATGCTGTCTAAATAAATAGTTATAATTTGACCATTTCAACTACTCCACTGAAACTTTATATATTCATGTAGATCAAAACAAATGAAACCTCCAATTCAGCTGTTTTTTTCTTTAAGAAAATGTTGAGAATTACCTTATAAACCAGCTAATACACACTTTGTCAACTACTTGATTGTCAAAAAATTTTTTGATACCTGCTCTTTCCACAGTCTGTGTGGAAATAAGGACTCTCATACTTTGTGCAGGAATGTAAACGGTCAGCCCCAGTGGAAGACCATTTGGAAATGTCTTAAAATTACAAATGCATATTATCTTTGACCTGGCAATTCTTCTTTTGGGAATTTATCTCTAGGTATACTGTTACCCACTGTGAAGTAATGTGAATCAAGATTATTCATTAAGTCATTGTTTGTGATAGATAAGAAGACACAGTTAATGCCCATTAATATAGAAACTGAATCACAATGCAGCTATGCTATGAATTACTCTTAAAAATATGAAAGAAATATAGAGAAATGCTTTATGTCCAGGGTCAGCAAACCACAGCCTGTGAGCCAAATTCAGCCTGATTTTGTAGAGTTTTTTGATTACAGTCCTTAGAAGTGAAGGCACTTAACTTCAGAGACAAGTAGCTGTGTCCTCGGACGGCATGTCCTACAAACCCGAAATATTTGTTACGTGGTCCCTTACAGGAAAAGTTTGCTTGTCCCTGTTCTTTATAGGGACACTGTGTATATCCAGCATATATGTTTTAGGTAAAAAGGCGTGGCACAGCCCAGTGTGAATGTTATGTTAACGTTTTTGGATAAAGGGGGCATAACCAATGTGGGTGTTTCTTTGCTTAAAAGAAACTCTGACTAGATAAACAAGAAACCGTGTACAGGCCACCTGTCCAGTTGGTGGGACCCTGAGCAAGAAGTGGGTTGGGCGGGAGGAAGATTTTTTCAGTCTCTTTATGTTTTTATACTTTTTTAAATTTTTTAAATTTGTGTGATGCATTACTTATTTAATCCTATGATAAATTATATTTTAAAATATTGTGGGCAAATTAACTATGCATGATATTTGGTTTTGGTAAATCCAACGAACCGGTGATTTGGGTCGATGAGCAGCATTCCTGCTGAAATGCAATGTTATGTCGTTAAGTGCAAGAGCCTGGAGTCAGGCAGACTTGGGTTAAATCCCACCTCAGACCTTTACTAAATGAACAAGGGCAAGGTAACTAGTTAACGAAGCCCCCCAGTCCTCACCACTCCAGTAAGTACAGTGCCCGTGGCCAGGGCAAACATGGGGTGCTTATGAGAAATGCACACACAGATTACTTAACCTAATGTCCAGCACATAATAGGCACCAGAGTATTTCAATTCTTAGTATCATTTTGTTTGTAAAGAAAAATCTTATATTGTAACTTGGTAATGATAGCAAATAACAAATAATTATTCTTGCAAATATCAGTGATTTTCTTGCTAATATCAATGACATGAGCTTACTTCATACTGTTTCTAGTAATATTTCTAAATTTTTTTTTGCCATGACAAAGAAAGAACTGAATGGAATGCTCAGATACAAGAGAAATGAAAACGATCAGTGACCAAGCAATGAAGACGTAAAACGTCAGTTGTGCATTTCACTCACATCAATATAGCTGGCATTTATATAGTTTGACCCTGCATCTCCATTCACATCAGAGAGTTCAACACGGTTATAATCATCTGTTCAAAGAAAAGAAATATAATAAGTGAGGTGATTATTTATTATTCATATTATTATTGATAATTCATTATTCAATAGCCAAGTAGCCTGAATACATGGATATCCAGTTCTCGACGTGACTTACAAGGCAGAATGTCGACATAACGGTTCTTGTTCTGGTTAAAGCTCTTCCGAGCATCCTTGATAGCAAACTTGCTGAACACTCGTGGAATGCTCTGCAAGACACAAGCGTTCTTTGGGTCCCAGAGGCTTCAAGAGGAAATCTTTTCCCCTTTGCTCACCATTTTAGCAAATGAGATGCCCTGTACTGTGTTAACTTGAAATCAACACGACTAGGAATTATGCCAAAGCCACTTTAAAAAAAAAAAAAATGAATGATGGACTACTTTGAAAATGAATCCCGTGAGTGAGAAAATAATTCATTGGCCTTCCAGTTTAAAACTCGTTTAAAATACATACTTGGATAATACCTAGAGTACAAAATCAGCCAAATATGTCTTATGACACAACTTCATACAGTAAAGCACAGCTTTGAAATATTTACAAGGTCCCCAACTCTGAGTCTCTCTTCCAGTCTGTAAATATCTGTTAATAAATACTTCGCTTTCACCACATTGCAGTATTATGTGGGGTAAATTATAAAGGTAAATGGTTATACATTTAAAATGTTCTTGATAATTGAGTAAAAAAGTCTCATCGTATATCAAGAAGAGCACGCACCTGAAATTCAGCCAGAAAAAGTCTTCCTTCATCAGCAATTTTCCTCTTGTAAGTTTCCAACAAATTGTCTGCGTGGATCGGCTCCACAGTCATCAGTTGCTTCTCATCATCTTTAAACATAGTAAGGATTCATGACCAGTGTTATATAGATATTATGTGTATATATATATATATATGTGTGTGTGTGTGTGTGTGTGTGTGTGTGTGTGTGTGTGTATCTTTCAAATGTTTGTGCAAGTTTTGTTAAATTTCTATTTTGGATTCAGTGTTTTCCTTCTTTCCTCCTCAGATACATCCCACCTGGAAAATCTCACTCCCATAGAAAGATTCAACTATAAACCCATGACTTCTAAATGCTGGGCTCCAGCCCTCTTCTGGGCTTCATATTAAGCTTTCTGACTTTGAGATCTTCTGCACAATTATCTCATAGGCACCTCAAAGTCAAGATGTTCAAAGTAAAAATCATTTTCCTTTATTCTAGCACTTCAAAATCTCAGGAAACAAGATCACCATTAACAAAGCCATTGAAGACAGAAACTTCCAAGTTATCCAAGATTTCTGCCTCTGTCTCCTGATACCCAGCAGGTCACCAGGGGTTTTCTATCCCTGGTCAGGTCCGCACCCTCCTCCTGGGCCACGTCACTACACCTTCCCACCTCCTCTCCCTGTCTCCAGTCTTTCCTGCCCTGGTTTGGCTTTGGAACTGCCACAAATTAGTCTTTCTGAAATGCAAATGTGAGCATAGAACGTTACCTGTTAGAAAATAAAAATAAAAAAGACTCCAACACTCCTGTCCGCGCCCCCTGCCTGAAGCTGAAGTGTGAATGTCTGACGTGGTGAGCAGCTCCTCCAGGACCTCCCCTTTGACCTCCCGGGACAGAGCTCAGGCAGGCTGCTCGCTGACCTTCTCCTTTACACCTGGTGCACCAACACTCTCCGGGGCCCCACACTCGGTCCTGCCCACGCGTCTCTGCACATGTTCTTTTCTCTACCCACAATGTCCCTCCTTACGTTTTTGTCTAGAGAACAGATTCCAGACCAAATATCCTCATTGTATGGATATCCACATTTTTTTATTACATGCATTTTATAGCAATTACCATACTTACGTTTCTGTATCAAAGTTATTTTTTATTTTTATTTTCATTTTTAACTTGTAAAATATTGTAAACTTACAAATAAGAATATGATTGATACCCTTACACCCAGGACTCAGCTTTATTTGATAATTTCTTTTACTAGACTGTGAATAGGTCATATTAATATGTTATGCTT